GGAGTTGTCGTAGTTCTGTGTCTTCACCCTGCGCTGCAGCTAGTCGGTTGAAGTCGATGGCGGCTAGAGGTTCTACCGTGCAGGAACCTATGCGTGAGAGCGCGTCCGCTACGATGTTCCCAGCGCCGTGAATGTGCCGGATGTCATTCGTGAGCTCGGAGACGCTGGACATTTGCCGGAGCTCTCTTGGTGAATCGTTCCCCCCACCTGGTTTCAAAGACTGGAACGCGTGGACGAGAGGCTTGTGGTCCGTCCATATAAAAATATTGTCGTCCTTCCACCATGTGCTGGAAGTGTCGTAGGGCCAGATACACACCAAGAAGTTCACGACCGAATGTACTACAGCGCTGTTCCGTCGGTGTCAACTTCCGGGAGAAGAAGGAAAGTGGCTGCCAATGTCCGTTCACTTCCTCCTGCAGCACCGCACCAATAGCGATATCCGATGCGTCGGTGACAACTGAGAGTGGAGTACGCTCTTTTGGGTGTGAAAGCATTGTGTTAGTGGCAAGGAGTTGACGGGCACTATCAAATGCCGATGTGGTGCATTCGTCCCATGTGAGCTCGGTGGATGAGCTACTCCTGCCAGAGAGCATGCTGTGCAGCGGCACGAGCTTGGCGGCGCAGCCCGGGAGAAACTGGCGGTAAAAGTTTACCAAACCAAGAAACTCCCAGAGTTGCTTCTTCGACGACGGCTTCGGGAACTCTTGAATAGCTTGTATCTTGATGGAGAGTGGACGGATTCCGGAAGAGTTTATCGTGTGCCCCACAAAGTCGAGTTCCGTCTTGCCTAGGGCGCACTTGCTCACATTGACGACAAGCCCGTACTCGACGAGGCGGGCGAACAGCAGTCTGAGGTGTGCGACGTGCTCTTCGGCAGGTGTGCTTTCCACGAGTATATCGTCAATGTAAACATAACAAAAAGGCAGGCCCCGCAACAACTGGTCCATGAATCGCTGGAACGTTTGCGCAGCGTTCTTCAACCCAAAGGGCATCCGGAGGAACTCGAACAATCCAAAGGGCGTGGTAACGGCTGTCTTAGGTATGTCCGAGGGCTCGACGGGGATCTGGTGGTACGCGCGTACCAAGTCGATCTTCGAAAACATGGTAGTGCCATCGAGCGCTCCGGTGAAGTCATGGATGTGCGGGATGGGGTAACGGTCGTCTGATGTAATGCGATTGAGGGCTCTGTAATCTCCACATGGGCGCCAGTTCCCGGGGGTGGACTTGGGGACCATGTGGAGAGGCGAGGACCAGGAGCTCTCTGACTGGCGGACAATGCCCAGCTCGAGCATGTGCTCGAATTCTTGTCGGGCTATTCGTAGCTTGTCCGGTGGCAGTCGGCGTGGGCGCACGTGAACAGGCGCCCCTGTAGTCTGAATGTGGTGTGTAACATTGTGTTTGACGGGGCGCTCGTCCAAGCTTACACTCGTCAACTCCGGGAACTCAGTGAGGAGACTGGAGTACGGCGTCTCATCCGCTGTAACCGCGAACGTGAGGCTGATGGATGCTAGGGACGAGGCAATGCCTTGCACTGTCAGACTAGTTGTTTTGTCGCGGAGGCGTCTGCTCTTGACGTCCACCAGGAGTGCGAAATGCTTCAGAAAGTCAGCCCCAATAATCGCGCGGGGAACATCCGCACATACGAAGACCCAGCGAAATGTGCGCCGCAATCCTAAGTCCAGTGTCAGTGAGCGCTCACCGTGCGTTGCAATGGCCGTGTTGTTGACGGCCCGGAGCTGTGACGTGCTGGGGAGCCGGCGCTCTTCCGCGGTTGCTGGGATCACGCTGATTTCTGCTCCGGTGTCTATCAGGAAACGAAGACCAGTGATGCGGTCAGACACAAAGAACAAAGTTCGGCGGCTGTCTTCGTTGGCGGGAGCACTGGCCACCGTTAATGCTCTGCTGTGCCGTTTTTCCGCTCGTGAAGAGGGCGGCTAACACTTGCGAGCAGCGGGACCGAACCGCTGGTGGTACCAACATTCCCCCGAGTTGGTGCGAGACGATGAGCAAGGCCTGCGCCGTGGTTGTTCCCGTGGCGTGCTGCGTCTGCCGGGAACCTGGAGTTTCGCCATCATGTCGGCGAGACGACGGACTTCCGCTCGCAGCTCGCCCAGCTCGTCCGGAGTGCTTCTGCCCTGGACCGCTGAGATGGTTGTTGGTGCTGCCGAGACCTCTATGATTTTATCAGCCAGATCGGCGATCTTGGCGAGGCCAATGTCCCCTGCGGACGCGAGGACCATTCGCACATTGCTTGGCAACCGCTGTAGGAACAACTCGCGGTGCAGCGACTGGTCAATAGTCGTCGCCTTTTCGCCTAGTAGCTGCTCCAGTCGGCGAAGCAGCTGGGTGGGGGTGCGGTCGCCCAGTTCCTCTGCTGTTAATAGTTTCCGGAGCCGCTTTTCCTCGGAAGCGCTTGTCCGACGAATAAGCTGAGCCTTGAGGGTGTTATATGCGTCCTCCGCTGGCGGTGAAATTAGGAGGTCCCGCACCTCTGTGGCGATGGCAGGTGATAGGCTTGACACGACATGGTGGAACTTCGACATGTCCGCTGTGATGCGCCGAGTCGCAAACTGGGACTCAACCTGCACAAACCACAGCACCGGGTCCGCCGGCCAGAAAGGAGGCAGCTTCAAGGTGACTGTAGAGATGCCAGAGGAAGTTGTCGCGTCGTTGTCCGTCATGACAAGGCTGGTTCCGTTGGTTGCGTTGCAGTTCAAAACCCGGGTCACCACTATGGCTTTCCCGACCGCTCTCGTGAGCGCGTCGGGTATGGACCAACAGACGCGGGAAACCTAACTAAAATACTTTACTCTGCAAGGAACCAGAGCGTGGGCATGGGCAGTCATGCGGAACTCGCAGTGCCGTCTCTTCACCGTCAGGCCGGTCGTTCTTCTATATCTCGCGCAGGGCTGCCTCGAGCTCGGGTCCCTCGTCGTCCTTCTCTTCCTTTTTCTGAAGAATGCAGACATTTCAGAGCATGGTGTCTTGGAAGGCTCTGGTGGTCCTACAGGGACGCACCACCACAAAGTATTTAATGTTTCTCCCAAAGAATAAATTTGCTGTCGAACCAGCATTAAAGCCTGTGTAAGTTTTCTTTTATCTTTTTTATTATTAATATTGCAGGTAGGGAGGTGTTTTGCCTTCGTGCGGGTATCGTTTTTTGGTGTTGTTGCCGTTTTCTATACTATTATTGTATTACAATTTTTGTTACTGATTGTAAACTTTTCAGTTTACAATGTTTTAATTTTGGAAAATTATAATATACTTGGCGTTAACTGGGATTTGGCCAAGTCCGGTATGAATCGGAGTGCTGGATGTGAACAGGAATTACTCAATTTGAGGAGATTTAACGGCCTTCATCGAATTAACCATGCTGTAAATGCTGTCGGTAATGCACTTGGTTTGTGCATTACCGACGCCAGAGCGGACTCCAAGGCCGTTGTTCCCTATTTAGTCGTTCCTGCTAACGGTCTTCCTTTCGTTTACTATTGGGTCAAGCACGCAGACTCCGGTGTTGATTATGCTCCTGCTCAGACTTGTACGCAATTCGTTACAAGTAACGAAATTACTTCTAATCCCTTACATTTATCGGGAATTTAGTAACGGACTAATTACTTATTTTCTAGGGTAATTTCAAAGTAATTCCCCTACATTTTTTTTGCGATACGGATTCCTTGTCGTTTTCAGGACTAGCCCCCCCCCCCCCTTTCTCCCTCCTTTAAGGAAAAGGTCATTTCATTTTGGTAAAGTTGAGAGCAGTGACACTGTCAAGCGAAATAACCAGCGCAAAGGGAGGCTGGCACTCTTCAGTTCCGCTAAACCTTTTTTTGCAACACCTAGTCCGTGAATCTATTTTTTAGACCCTAACAACAATGTCAAAAGATAAAAAAAAAATTATTGTGCAAGAAAAAGGAGGGGGGAGATTTATATCCGTTTTTTTATTGTCTGTTTTTTTTCGGGGGGGGGGGGGGGGGGATCGAAGGCGGGGAGACGAAGACACCAAGTGATTGTATGCCTCTTCGAGAAGCTGAAGGCGGTAAGTGCACAGAGAAGAATTAACAATGTCCTTCTCGGTTATAGTCACTAGGACTATTTACGTGATGTAAAAACACGAGAAAACGCTCCGTCTACCCTAAAATCCACTAAAAAAGATGTGATAATATGTGAAGGTTTTATTGCTCCAAGCATCCTCGTTTGTCAATACACACTTACCATATTCTCTTAGAAAACAGGAAGTATTTATTTCTGCTTCTTTCATCTTATTCAACCGTGTTTACAACTCGACTTACTTTTTTATAGTCCAACTTCTAGGGTTAGCCCACTTTATTTGTGAATTCCAGCCAGGTTATCTGCGTCTTAGTCACCCTTTTCGTGAGTCAGCTTTTTGCAAGCACTTCCAAAATGGTAATAGTCTACCTGTTTTCTTCTTCCTCTTTTTACCCCAATAGGACGTTTCTTATCTCAAGCAGATATTGTTACAAATAAAAGATAATGGTGGCTGACGTAGACTTGATATTCTGGGCTTGAGGAGAGAGTGAAACTCGTGAGCGCGGCCATAGCGCAACTTAGTTCTCTGCCCTTCGCTGCCCGTGGCATCAGCGGACGTCTATCTCGAGAACACCAGTGTAGACTGCAGTCGGTCCGTGCTTCGTGCGTTTTTGAACGGCACCAAGAAAGGTACACATGGCAAACGTGCGTTTATATTTTCTAGTTTTAACCAACGTTCTAATTAATTGTTCTTATGAGTGTCCTCTTTTTTTTTTCTTGATTATTTATATTTAAATATTGGAATCTTTTACTTATTCCCAAACGTCTCAATCGAGGCTTGGCCTGTTCAGAACCAAAGGGAGAAGAATATTGAGCCAAACCTTATTTATTATTTAATTATCCTTTAACTGTTACCAACTCTACTAAAACTCTCGAATATCAGGCAAAAGAGTGGGCACGGGAGCAGCGCGACGGCCGCAATGGCTTACAAACCTTGTTTCTTCGTACCTCAGGTCCTACTACCACTCCTGGCTTACTGCGCGTCCCGGTATAATGGTTTCGCCTTCGACTTCATCACCATGGATTCGCTGCCGCAAGTTCCAGTCGGCGATTCCCGCCGACATGATGACGTAAAGCAGGCCACCTGGATCTACTATTCGCCTCGCTTCATCAAAGAAAACCCATCGACATCGACGACGCCCGCAGCGCCAGATGTAAAAGGCTGGCAGTTCAGTGAATTCTCCAGTGGGCACGGGAGCAGCGCGACGGCCGCAATGGCTTACAAACCTTGTTTCTTCGTACCTCAGGTGGGTATCCACATTCCTTTGAACCTAAAAAACAAAAACAAACGTTTGCTATTGCTGTTCCCGAGCCCACGGGTGTTTCTTAGTGTGATATTGGAGTATTTGAAAAATTGTCTTCTTTTATTGATGTCGGGTGACGTAGAGTCCAATCCCGGCCCTTTCACACGAACCACGTCGTCACAGTCCACCAAAGGAAAAACTAGCCAGCCCATGGTTAGTATGACAGAAGATAATACTGAGGGAGCGGTTGCACTGACCCAGGCAGAGCAAAACATAGAAATTTTGCGCATGTTGCGCGATCTTCAAAAGCAATCGGCTGAAATAGCAACAGGTAATCAGGAATTAAAACAAAGCATCACTGAAATTAGAAACGGTCAACAAAACATTGAATCTACGCTTACAAATATAGGCGGTAGATTAACAGCTGTCGAAGAGAAGCTAGAGGTGCTAGATAGTGTTGAAGTTGATTTGCGGAATACTTCCAACACGGTAGAAGGTCTTCAAAGACAAAACCAATTATTGCAGACTCGTATTAACGAACTAGAGGACAGGTCACGGCGTGACAATTTGATTTTCCACGGAATTCCTGATATTCAGGAAACGTGGCCACAAACAGAAGAAAAGGTATCAAACTTGTTGTCCAACTGGCTTGGTATTCAGCTAGCCTCGGTTGATATCGAACGCGCTCACCGTTTAGGAAAATTTTCCGGCTCAAGGTGCCGCCCCGTAATAATAAAATTTTCTAGTTTTAAAACTAAAGAAAAGGTACTTCAGGCCAAAGCTAAACTGAAAGAACACGACGTGAGTGTAACTGAGGATTTTTCACCCGCGACGCGCGAAGTACGGAGGAAGCTGACCGAATTTGCCAAAACGATGCCTAACAGTCCCTCCTTCCAGCTGAAATACAACAAACTGTCCGTTGATGGAAAATTATACACGTACGACCCTGTCTCCGATAAAATTTGTGAGTCACGACTTCCGATATCACAATCAGCTACTACCGATACACCAACAACTGTGCCCTCGGGACAACACGCTGCGTCATCCAGGCAACGTGATACGTCAGACACGTAGGGGTTACCGAGGGGCTGTGGTTATCGTGCATCCTTATCACAAGTCTCTATTTTATTTACTAATATCAGAAGCGTTGTCAGAAACCGCACCGAAATTTCTTCTGCTATTGATTCTTGCTCTGCCGATATTGTCGTGTTAACAGAGACATGGCTTCACAGTAACATTCGTGAAAATGAAATATTCGATTTGTCCAATCAATTTCATTTCTACAGACGAGATAGGGAAACGAGGCAAGGTGGTGGTGTACTAATAGCGATTAAAAAGGAATTTCAGTCATTCGCACTTCATATTGCGTCATGCTTAGAGATTATATGGGTGTCTGTAAAACTAGCTCATTGTAGAATGGTTGTCGGGGTTTGCTATCGCCCCCCGAATGATTCCTCTAGCTTTGTTACTGAGCTCTATGATGCCATAAACATCGTTATCACACGGTACCCAACATCCCCTGTATTCTTGCTGGGTGATTTTAATTATCCAGGAATCAAATGGTCAACGTCCCCCCCTTCACTAAATTCGTCCTCGTCTGTTTGCCAGGAATTTATTGAGTTATGTTCATACTTTCACTTTACACAGATTATTTCCGAACCAACCAGAGTTACACCGACAAGTGCGAACCTGCTAGATTTGGTATTAACTACTTGTCCCGAGTTATGCTCAGAAGTAACATACATGCCGAAAATAAGTGATCACTCTCTACTAAATTTTTCTGTGACTATTCCTGTAAAAAAGTTTTCTAATAGAACTAAAGTGATACGTAATTATCCTAATGCTGACTTTAACCAAATCAATGATGAACTGTTTTTATTTCTACAAGCGTTTCTAAACGGGTTCGAAGCACGCTCAGTTGAATATAATTGGAAGCTTCTAAAAACGAAGATGACAGAGCTTGCTAACCGTTTTATTCCAGTTCGTGTAATCTGTTATAATCCGCAAGCACCATGGTATGATTCATTTATCAGGCGCCTTTCCAATAAAAAAAAACGCATGTATAGAAGTGCAAAAACGTCTAGTGACCAACATCGATGGTCTCTATATCGTACCTCGGCTGATGAATATAATTCTGCAGTCAAATCGGCGAAGGAAAATTTTCTAACCAACACATTACCAAATATGTTGCTGAACAATCCAAGAAAATTTTGGAATGTAGTGAACCCGGCTGATAGTTCGCGAATTGTACTAACGAATTTGGACGGTGAACCAATTGATGACAAACAGTGTTCAGATACGCTTAACAACGTGTTTTCCAGCGCTTTTTCGTGTGTTTTTTCTGACGTTTTTCCTTCATTTAGTAACCCTGAGTATTTACCCATGTATCCTGTGCAGATTGAGACTGATGGTGTTGCCAAAATTATTGACTCTCTAAAACCTTTCTCCTCCTCTGGTGTTGACTGTATTACTCCCATGTTCCTAAAAAACACGAAAGCCTATACCTCTGTCGCCCTCGCTAAAATTTTTCAGCAATCCCTCAATTCTGGTGAGCTCCCGCAGGACTGGAAAATAGGGAGGGTGGTTCCCGTGCACAAATCTGGCGACAAGCACTCACCTTACAACTACAGACCCATATCAATCACTAGCGTTCCTTGCAAAATTCTAGAACACATACTTTTCTCCCATATCGCGGACTATCTGGAATCAAATTCTTTTTTTCACCGCGCACAGCACGGCTTTCGCAAATCTTTTTCGTGCGAGACACAACTGGCTTTATTCACCCATAAGTTGCAATCTATACTCGATAACCGATCATCCGCCGACTGTATATATCTGGATTTCGCGAAAGCATTTGATAAGGTATCTCACCAGCTCCTGCTACTAAAACTAAAAAAAATAGGTATTGATATTAACATACTAAAATGGCTTGAATGCTTTCTCACACATCGTCAGCAATTTGTAACCGCGAATGAAGTCAGCTCTCTCCTTCACCCTGTAATATCTGGTGTACCCCAAGGTACTGTACTTGGGCCATTACTTTTCCTTGTCTATATTAACGATCTACCAAACTGTGTATCATCTTCGATTCATCTATTCGCAGATGATTGTGTTCTTTACCGGGAAATAACCTCTATCAATGACGTGCATGCACTTCAATCTGATATTGACGCTATCACTTCTTGGTGCAAAACGTGGCATGTGACACTAAATGTTAACAAGTGCAAATTCATGCGAATCTCTCGTTGTTCCGCTAACTTACCTTCATATCCCCTTGATAGTAGTCTACTCGAAACTGTCGAATCATACAAGTGTTTAGGCGTCCATATTACTTCTAATCTTAGCTGGCAAATTCACATCGACTCCATTACTAACAAGGCTAACCGTATGCTTGGGTACCTAAAACGCAACTTTTACTCGGCCCCTACTTCTATTAAATTACTGTTCTACAAAACAATTGTGCGCTCACAACTAGAATATGCTTCAGCGATATGGGATCCTGGCATCGGAACTCTCGTTAATCAGTTGGAAATGATTCAAAATAACTCGGTTCGATTTATATATTCTAACTACCAACGAGCTGCTAGCGTATCCTCCATGAAATCTAACCTAGGTCTTTCTTCCCTAGCGTCACGACGCAAAAACGCACGACTTTGTTTGTTCCATAAAATTTTCCACCACACCACTTTACGCGGTGAACTGTTAACATCACCTTCATACATGTCGTCACGGATGGATCACCCACATAAAGTAGGAGTCATTTCATGCAACACTAATTCCTTTTTTTATTCCTTCATCCCACGTACGTCTAGTGACTGGAACCACCTTCCCTCTCTGATAGCCACTATTACTAATTATGATTTGTTTCAATCTGCCTTAAAAAATATATCTGATTGATTATTTAACTGTATTAGTAGAAGACGTTGTGTTTGCCGGTTTCAGGCTAGTGGACTATATAGTATCAAAGTGTATTAATCATTTGTAACCATTGTTTTTTTTATTTTCTTTCGTGTATGCTTTCCCAATTATTATTCCATTTTACTTATTGTATTTGCTGTACCACTCCCCTCTATAATGCTTCATGCCTTGAGGGTATTTATAAATAAAAAAAAAAAGGGAGAAGAATATTGAGCCAAACCTTATTTATTATTTAATTATCCTTTAACTGTTACCAACTCTACTAAAACTCTCGAATATCAGGCAAAAGTTGCAAGGACGAAGCTTTGCTCTATCTTCGAGGTAAATAGCACTTCGATTGCTTCGCTGAGGAAGCTCAATACAGAGCATAAAACATTCATGAGGCACAATATGGCATTCCTTTCCAGTGCCTCAGTTCAAAAGTTGTTCAGCATAGCAGTCGACATCTTGAGTAAGAAATAACGCAAAATGTCTGACGAGACTTTCGAGAGTCAGCTGTTCTTCAAAATAGTCAAGGTCAATAAATGGAACAGTTGGCAACAATAAGAACTTGAGTAACCTTCTTTCCTTTGTTTCTTAAATGAGAAAAATAATGTTCGAAGTAAGGCCACGAAAGTAACAGATTACTTTTGGGGGTAAGGGTCACTTACTTTTATGGGAGGGTAATTGTAATTGTAATGAATTACAATTTAGCCTTGAGTAATTGTAATTGTAATAAATTACAATTTAGCCTTGAGTAATTGTAAATGTAATTCTTTATTAGTTTTCAGCAACGTGTAAAAGTCTGCTCCTGCTATCTATTTCAGACTGTACACGTATGTGGACGATGCTGACTGGGAAACTGCTTTTAAATGAGCTGACGTCGACTGTGCCGTCACTCGGCTGACATATATTGTAAAGTCTGCATTTCAGCGTTTTATATCGGTAAAGTAAATATCCGATGTGCATTTTCCTTGTGGTTCTCACGTGATCTCCGGCGGGAACTGAGCTTGAACTCGTTTAATCACAAGAGATAGAAATCGTCCAGCTTGGAAAAATAGCACTCTTTATTCAAGGAACATCGCTTTAAACGAAGGCGATTGAATAGAAGAGACAAACGCATATTGCACGACTCGGTTGAGTCAGACCAACTTTGAAAATATGTTAGGTACATTAGGCCATCCAGTGAAACTGAGGCTAT